GCTGAAACTTTCACTCACACAAAGACACAGTGCTTTTTGCCCTCCCTGAATATGCAGCCCTCTAGTCATTGTTTTTCTTTGTTTTCCCACTGAGCTGCTCCATGGAGAAGTGACATGTTCTTTCTCCTTGGTTGGTCTCCCTCAGCTCAGTGCGGCGGCTCCATGACAGACTTCAGCGGCGTCATCCTCAGCCCAGGCTTTCCAGGGAATTACCAAAGCAGCCTGGACTGCAGCTGGAGAGTTCAACTCCCTATTGGCTTCGGTCTGTAACCTCTCCTCTCTCTTCTCCTGTGTAACTCAACAACCTGCTAATTTCAAGCATGTATAAGTACTAGTGTGTATAAAAGTGTAATACAATATTTGACAGGAATAGCCACTCTTTGCTCTCTTTTACTTCATTCATGTGCTCTTGGGTTTACCTCTTCCATTAACCTTCTCTTTCCTCTTCTTTAGGGATCCATCTCCAGTTTCTGAACTTCTCCACAGAGCCTGTTCATGACTATTTGGAGATCCGCAGTGGGAGCCTTGAGACAGGAACAGTGATTGATCGGTTCAGTGGCCCCACGCTGCCCAATCCTCTCTTCAGCACCACCCATGAGACTACTCTGTTCTTCCATAGCGACTACTCCCAGAACAAGCCCGGCTTCCACATTGTCTACCAGGGTGAGAGAGAAAAACAGTGTAGCCTAAGAGGACGTGCATTGTTGTCCTTATTTTCTGTTCTGTGTGTCTACACATGCACGATATATATACATATTATAATGTCGTGCAAGTATGAGCTGTATGTGAAATATCTTTTAAAAGTTTAGGCTTCTGAATGTTTTCTAGCTTTTCAATTTTTTTTCTTATTGAGAATAAGAAAATTGAGAATTTGCTAAAGGTACAGCATGTCTCCAAAGCACAGTAGGGACACCTCAGAAGCACTGGGTGCTGTCTCTCAGAATGCCTCTGGAGGTTAGCCAATCAGAAAAAAAGGGAACATTTAGGGAGAGTAAAGAGTCAGGAGCTAAAATGGCATGTCTCAGATAGAAAGTGAACTGAGGGGCTGCATAAAGGCCTAATATGAGATAAATAAGGTTTGTTTGTTTTTTTGTTGTTGTTTTTTAACCATGTAAAGTACAGCATCAAAAATAGTCATAACAAATGATAACCAAGTGTCCATATCATGATTTTAGGTCTTTCCCTGTACTGTAGTCTGTTAGATATTTTGCTCATATAATAGGTTTGCAAAGCATAAGAAGGGGAGGTAGTCTCTTCAAAAGTAAAGACTACCCCTGTTGAACAGCCCATGCTTTTCCTTTGTGACTTATTTACATCACTATAACACCCTGGCAAAATTTGGTGACTGTCCCCACAATAACAAAGTAAGTAAAATGTATTTATTAAGATACACAGACAGTCAAAGCGAGGTACACAAAAAGATTAAAGTAAATAAGAGCATTAAGTGCAATAATAGGCAACAGAAAAATACAATAAGACACATTAAAACAGACGAAAGTTTTAAAATAAATAAATAATAATTCAATACAAATTCTCAGTAGAAAGCCTGTTCAAACAAAAACAAAATCCCCAGATGCTTAGTGTTCACACAATATGCAAATAATATGGCTAAATTTATTATCTGTTTGTTTCTCTCCTGCTCTATGTCCTCACATGTATGTATGTGTTTTATTACAACCAGATTCAACTATTCTCATTCATGTAATTTTCCTGTTTTTGCTGTGAGCCAGCAGAACGATAAATAGTCACTCTTATGCAGCTCATCAAGGCTAATTTCAAGACATTTTCCAACCTGCTGCTGTGCATTACTAAAATCCATGTGTTACAACAGGGATGCAACAGTGTTGCCTGTCAAAATCAGTAGTACCTAAGTTAAAGAAAACAGATTTGATGAGATGGATGCGACATTTACATATAAGATGAAATTTAGAGGCTTAAAGGATGTCTTTAGAATTTGCGTAAAGCTAAACAGGGCTTTGCTCGTTATATGCATTTAATCATTGTTTTTAATCAATTTTTAATCAAAGTTAAAATCATGAGATTTTAAATAAGCTTCCTATGGTCACTTTGAAATTGGGTTTTGCAAGTGACGTGAAAGAAGATTGAAGCGCTCTCTAACAGGACACGTAAAAGCCCATTATTTACATTAGGTACAGACAAGGGAGAAAGTTTTGTAATTAGGTATGCACGGCAGTTTCTTCCACTGAGGTTGTAAGATTAAAGAAAACCTTTTGCATTTTCCGAAACATTGCATACCACATGTCCTTGAAAATTATTATTTTTACCCCAGTGTTGAATTCTGTGTTTTATGATCCTCTTTGTCTTGGATGGGTTTTACTTTCCCCCCCCAGCATATGAGCTACAGAGGTGCCCAGACCCACGGCCGTTTCGTAACGGCATAGTGATCGGACAGGACTACAGCGTGGGGATGACCATTTCCTTTGAGTGCCTGCCAGGTTACACTCTTCTTGGAGAACAGTCGCTCACATGTCTGCATGGAATCAGCAGAAACTGGAACCACCCCATCCCCCGCTGCGAAGGTGAGTGCCTTAGGTACCCTCCAAGCTCAGCAGTGTCCTTGCACCAAGTGTCATTCATATGCAGAAAAAAAATTGGCACTCGATCTATTCAGTATCTGAATGTTTCCTATGAATTTCTTATATTTGGTGAATCAACATATTCTGTTTATTCATCTCAAAATGCTCTTTCATGTTTCTGGTTTCAAAATCAGTAGGAAAATATTTAAATATTTGTGCAGCTAACTAAAGTAAAGGTGAAGATTATTTTCCATTACAAAAAAATGTCTTTGTTATTTTAAATAGTTAATTTTATAATAGAATACAGTCTGCTTCGTGTGCTGTCTTTTACTCTAGCACATCAAAGCACGAGACTCACCAGCTATTCAACACTATTTTACTGAACTATAAACTGATGCTTAGCGATTATAATGATACATGGAGCATCTTCAAGTCTTTAATGCAAATCTGAACATGCTGGTCTTTTATGTAATTCTAAAGGAGTCGCCTTAGATGTCACTCAGGTACGCTAAACAATCTTTCCTCAGTTAAACGATGCAACAGCAGCATTATAAGACCACACGATAGTTTTATATTTACCTTAAAATGTTGTTTTGGTTCTTACATGCTGTATTGCTCCTGTCAGGTTTACAGCACTTCTTTTTTTTATCCTGTGGGTAATGCTTTGGCTTCGACTCCTAGTTCAAAGTCAGACTTAAACATCTAAGGGGGGTTTG